TGGAGGAGGATCGACGTTGGTTGTCGAGCACTGGATTACAGAGGAGTTTTGGAGCTTCGACATATTTGGGTCATCCTAGTCATAGGTTGCCGACTGCTGTGTTTGGAGTTATTGGATCTAGTAGAGCTGCTTTAGATTTTGGATTGTGTCGGATGTTTGGTTGCCCAACATTTGATCACATCAAGGATGTAAGATTTGATCCGATTGCACGTTTGGGATTCAGAGGCTCATTTGATTATCAATTGAGAGCTTATGATTTTATTCTGAGCAGGTATGTCACTTTTGACTCTCGACAGGTGGAGATTGTTGATCAGGTTGTTGGGATATCACAGCTGGTGGAGAGTGATGCTACTTCACGTTGGATGGAGATTACTCCACATACTCCAGATCATACTGTATCGTTTGGGATTCCAGCTGAGATGATACAGTTTAGGGATCATTTGGATTTGAATATAGATGATGAGTTGGTTTTAGATTTGAGTGCAGCTGATGGACATTTCTATTTGCGTGGTGGACAACAAGTGGTATCAGAGCCGTTGGTGATATTGGTGAAGAGTTACAAACTTTTCTATTTGATTGAGAGTCTTTGGAGGCAGTTTGTGTGAATTACGTGAATACTTGATTCCTTGGGAAAGATGATATGTAGGCAATCATTTTATAATGCAACCGATTTGGTAAGTAGATACCAACGTTTGGAGAGTGATCGCATTCTCATTTGGGTCTCGACTTGCTGTGGATTGAGTTCGTTGTCATGATTTTGTTTTACTTCGTACTGAACACAACAAGTGGGGTATTTGGTTTGGTTGGTGTCGGCTCAGTTTTGGAAAAACTTTACCGAGGTGAAGAATTATAGAATTGAAGAAACGATGAACAGATTTGGATCAGAACAGGTTTTGGACGTAGGAACGCTTTTGGGTGCTGCACGATCGACCGCGAGTGACGTTGCGGTCGACCGCGAACGTGCACATACACAGGGAAGTCTTTGGATTTTTGGCAATTTGTCGAACCACGTTAAAATCGTTTGTTTGTGTTTATGGTATTGATTTGGTTGGCTTGGCCTTTATCTCGACATTTGTATGTTCTCGAAGCACATTGGTTTGGTTATTTTTGGCTTCCGCAGCGCACAACATTTAATCTTTTTGAGCATGATCTATTCTAAATGATGAGCTCTAAAAGTCAGTTTATTGTGGATAAGAAATATCGTATGCTTTGGACCATCCTCTTGCCTACCTTGTGCTAGTGTTTATAGAGAGAAATGAACAACAAAGTTTTTAATGACGAGTTATGAGCTCTCTCTAAGTTGGTTGCTAATGTAGCCTTTTTCTTGTTATTCTGGACAGGTAGTTCTCATCACAAGAAGGCCACCAAGTTGAAAACAATTTTTCAGGAAGAGATGATCTATGGACTTTTGAGTTCTAGTGAAGATAATGGTTAACATATAACACGATTCTTGGTTTTTGGATGTATATTCTGATACTTTCTTGTTTCGCACATTTGAGTGTGTTTTTTTGTTAAGCTAGTGGTTTATTAGCTCTCTACATATATACTCTTGTTTTTTCCTCATTTTCTACCCATAGTTCGGATTTTGGGCTTTAGTTTGTCAGAAGTGGTGATGGTTATGGTCCTCTCCCTCTTTCCATTCTATTTGCCCATCTTCCTTCTTTTGGTGTAGTTATGTATATTATAAGTTCTATATATCTTTTGAACAGGGCATCTAGCCCGGTTTTTACTTAAAAAAAAGAAATAATACTCAAAGGTTTGTGATCCAATTATGATAATTTGTTAGGTGTGGTCACCATGCTTTGCAATTGTGATTTGATGGGGGACTACCTTAACAAAAGGTGCAGTTTTGTTCTTGGTATGATCAGCTTCATCATTTGGCGAGGGCTTGAAGAGAGCAGCTTTTGGTTGAATGATTGCAACTTGAGTGTGTTTTATAGTACCTTGAGAGATGCATAAACTTAATTTCACGTGGTATGATTACATGTTCATCTTCCTTATGGTATGACAACATTGTATTTCGGAGTAGATCGATGATCAAGTTGGAACATTATGATAGCTTGATTAATGAAATTACATTTTCGTCTTCTAATTTTTTATCTTAAAATTTGATTGTTTATACTTCTTCCTTTTCTACACATTCTTTTTCATGTGTATTCTGTATCACTTTGTCTACTTAATAACTTTTCAAGAAACTTGTTCCAGTTTCTACTGAAAGAACTTCAATTTTTTCCGTCTCTCTCTCTAAACAAGCTAAGCCTAAGAAGTAAGAAGTGGTATATTGGTATATAAATTTCTCTTATGTAGAAAGTTGTAGCACAAACCTTTCCGTTTGCATCCCATCCCCAAATATAAAATATTTTATTGTTGTATTTCTGAAAAAAATAACAATAATCAGGACAAGCATAATAATTGACCTCCTGTCCTTCTTCTCCAAAATGAAAAGAAAGGAAAAAAAAAATTCACAAATACACTTTCTGGATATCAAACATAATTTACATATGGAAAACTCCTCAGGGACCCCAAAATAGGGGACCCCTGATGGGACAGGTGAGGTGTCCTTCCCTGTGGGCTTGATGCACTGTTCATGAACAGTACATCAAGCCCCCAGAGGATGACACCTCACCTGTCCCATCAGGGGTCCTCTATTCTGTGATCCCCGTAACAACACCCTTTACATATATCATGAGAACATATTTTTAAATTTTGGTAGTACATGCTGCCCATTCTTCTTGTATCCCTTTCTCCCATTAAATAATAATTCAGTCTCCATCTCTCTAAGTAGGGGGAGGAAAAAAAAAGATTAAAGAAAAAAAAAAAGGAAATCTAATTAGGTTAGAGGATGGAGCATTATTATGAGCAGATCCTTTTGTGGGTATCTGAAGACACATCACAATGTGAGAGCGCTCTAAGGAAAACAACAAGAGAGAGGATTAATCAAGAGTTAATATAGTGTATTATTAGGGTAATGTCATTGTTTTCTCAACTAATAATAATATTTATATTAATGCAATTTGAAAATTGAAAAGGTAGGAGCACGCCGTGACTCTCCACTAAACCCTCTTGTGTGGTACATTTGTTACTAAGCACTGAGAATATTAATTATAATAGAATTAATGTCACTTTCAAAACTAACCTTCTGCTCTATTTTAAGCAATAATGAATAATACCCAATATTAAACTCGATTATGGATTAATAAATATTGTCTTTCACCCAGATATTATGGATTCGAAAGAACTGACAAGTGGTGCATACGCTCACAAAGAAATAATTAATGCTTAATGGTTGATATTATGTCATTAAAAGACAATGATCGACACTATGCAATCTGATTGGAATATTCTACTATATAGTCTAATCTGCATCAAGGCTGGACCTTATGCTACTTGGTTAATTATGTATTCTCTCTCAAAGTAAAATTATTATTAACATATAATCAACTGGGTTAGTACTTTAGACCATTTTAGGTTGGCACTTAGATATCGTATAGTTTCACCCCTTTAGCACTTATATACCCTTAGTTGTATTTCTTAGCATTTATATACCCTTAGTTGGTCAAATTGGCAAGTTAATACCCATGTCTCGCAAATCTAATAATTTTTATCCACAAATTTTCATGTAATATTCATATGTTAATTTCAGAGCTTTTTAAGCATTAATATTTTTTAAATTACTGTTAAACCTACCCAAATTCTAATTTAAATGTATCATAAATCTATTTAAAAAAATAGAATTTGGAAAATTTTTAACAATAAAATATAAAAAAAACTTAATAGACAGAAAGTAATAATATTAGCATATAAATGTTATAGGGGGAATTTTCGGATAAAATTAAATTTTCACGTTTGAAAAATATAAGTTATTAATGTGTTGTTTTTGACTAACTTGAGTTAAATTAATGCTATAAAATATAACTGAGGGTATATAAGCGCTACGGAAGTGGAACTATAAGGTATTTATGTGCCCTTTTAGCCTTTTAGGTCAGTTGTGAAAGAAATGCAATTTTCATTAAGGGCCCGTTTGGTTGGTTTCCTAAAAATCAAGAAAAGGAAATCGGTACAAGGAAATCAATAAAATAATATTTTTACCCATTTCCATCCCTAAAACTAACCCACAACATCTAATAAAATATTATTTTTATCTTCCAACTCATCTCATTTCATCTCCTTTCTTACATTTAAAAATAAACCAAACACAAGAAATGTGTCACATCATCCAACTCATCACAACTCATCTTATCCCATTTTTAAAAATCACACACATCATCCAATAATATTGTGACAACTCATCTCATCTCATTAAACATTCCTTTCCATCCATTTCCTCAAAAAAAAAACAAGAAATTGGTTTCCTTAAGTACGTGTCACATCATCCAATAATATACCTCCAACTCATCTCATCTCATCTATTTTCCTATTTTTAAAAACGAACTAAACACAAACAACCTCAAAACATCATCCAATAATATACCTCCAATTCATTTCCTTATTTTTTTAACCAACCAAACAACCTCAAAACAATTTTTTTTTAAAATCACTCACATTATCCAATAATAAGTTGACAACTCATCTCATCTTATCTCCTATTCTACAATTTCTTTCTTTTTTAAACCAACCAAACAACCTCAAAACAAATATTATAGGAAATAGGTTTTCTATTCTTTGATTTCCCCAAAAAAATGGCCAAACGAACAGCCCCTAAAACTAGCCGTTTCATTCGCAGTGGGCCATAACTTTTATATGACATTAGGCCGTTCGCTTCGTACGGTTCTGATCCAATTTAACCCAATCTTCTTAACTCTGAAAAACGAACATCAACTGGGCTGAACTCTATTTTAGAAAACCCAATAGAACCTTATTAGATTCAGGCCCAAAGAGCCCAACTGCAAACACAAATAAAGAAGCAAAACAAGAGGGAGAACGAGAAGAGAGCGCTCTCTAATGGCGGCTGAAGAGGGAGAGAAGAAGAAGATTGAAATTTACCCTTCATCATCGAGCGCTCTCTAATGGCGGCTGAAGAGGGAGAGAAGAAGAAGATTGAAATTTACCCTTCATCATCGTCGTCTGCAGCAAGACAAGTTACCCCTTTTTGGAAAGGTAATTGTTTTATTATTTTTTTAATCAGAAAAGCCCCTTGCTTTTTCATCAAATTGCTTGTTTTTCTGTCCTAATTGCAGAGAAGTATGAGAGGGACGCGAAGAAATACTGGGATGTATTCTACAGGCGCCACAAGGACAAGGTTTGGTTTGGTTTTTTTGTTTTTTTTTTGTTTTTCGTGGTTGAGTTTAAAGTAAATGTCTTTGTTGTTTGGTTAATAGTTCTTCAAGGATCGGCATTACTTTGACAAGGAATGGGGAAACTATTTCAAGGTTTGATCTTTTTTCCTTTTTTTGGGTTTTTTGTTTGTTTTTTATGGGTTTTTGACTTGCCCATTTGATTGTGGTTATATAAACTAGGCTCAAGAGGGAGAAAAGCTGGTGATTCTGGAGGTAATCTATTTTAATTTTTTTTTTCACTTTTAATTATTCCTTAATGCATATTGTCATGGATTTATGAAGTTTCTTGTTAGTTTTCGTACTTGATGTATTTTCTCATTGTGAATTTACTTCCTGTAGTGATTGTTATAACAATGTGGTGTCTTGCTAGTTGTAGGTAATATACTTCATTGACTAATATCTTGTGGCATATGTGTGATCATACTAAGACTATCAGATACTCAGTGCATTGTTATGGTTCTAGAATCAAAGGCAATTAGGAGTGTGTTATCACAAAATTTGAACAATTTTCATGTGAATAATTCACAAGTGAACTCTTTATTTGGTGATGATATCCTACTACATATTTATTTTACATTCTTCGATTCTATTTGTTCTCTATTAAACAGTAATTTAGGTGTGTAACTGTCACGACCCAAATTCCGAACCTAAAAGGAATATTGGAGCCGGACTAAACCTGTGAAAAATCCTCCAAAATATGCATTCATTAAAAGACCATCAAAATAAACTATTAATCGAACTAAAACCAACAATAAATGTTCTCTATAATCCCAAAAGTCAAACTACTCCAATTAACTTGATAAAAACAAATATTCCTCAACTTGAAATAAAACTCGACCTAAAAGAGAGAATCACATTATTGCAAAACTCTTAATTCATCAACTAAACATCAATGACTTTATTTAACCTTCATCTAGAAATTAATAACAATCTCGAATTATATTCATTGCTCCGTTCTAAGAATTTGACAAATCCTCAATTCCACTTCATCCCGAGTCTCTGAAAAGAATGAAAACAACACGATGAGTTCACAACTCAATAAGTGGATAAATTCATACATTAGACACTGGTTTTGCAAAACTAAAATAAATGAACTTGATAAGCAAAATACTAAAATAGTAAAAAAATTATAATGCAACATTTCAAAATATATACATGCAATGAAAATAAGCAAGTCATGTCTCAATACGATCAACACTTCGATACTCCGGTTGACTTGGCAAACCCCACTATTATATAGCCCGTGGGGACGGTGAGACCCAAACTCGGGCTCTTAGCGCTAAAATAAAAACATCATAGAGGCACATTGAGCCCTGTTTTAATAACTTGCTTATATCTGACATATACCGGTATATTGACCTGAGATGCATATGCTTTAAGAAAATTAAACAAAGTCCGTAAAACTAAATACGTTATACAAAAATGCCAAATGCCAACCAATAGTGAAATCAATCAACCACATATGCATCTCAACCTACTACTATATGGAAAGACATAACAATTGACAAAAAAAAAATAACAACAATTGACAAAAAAATAAGCATAGGCTTATACCAAATAACCACGTGCATTAATCCAATTAACAATTAGTATACGAGCAACCATAAAAAAGGATATATTCCATCAGAACAAACTTACACATAGTTAATATAATTTTATATGAAAAATACACAGCGAATAATGTACAAATACCACTTACTCAAACACGAAAGACTATTGGAATACCAGTCACGATGCCTCCTCGAAGCCACTCGAAGCCCATAAAGAATACATATAAATAACCATCAATGCTACTGTATACCTTAAGATTCAAGCGTCTATTAGATTAATCAACACATAGGCTAATAATACATTTTTTTTCAATTTAACATATAATCTAAAATCAACCAAAATATCCTACTGTGACCTATAGTCCGCAGTCAAATATTGCGTGCATCTATGATCTATCATCTGTAACTTATGGATTTAATAATATAGATCATGGTCATGTGCTAAGATGAAAACAAAGGATATAAAAATGAAATTAAAAGGGAGCATGATCAACTTTGGTCCGCCATGACCTCAAACAATGATGTATAGACATAGGCTTCTTAGTGGGGAGAATACATATATATATATATACCTTGATCAAAGTTCTTGATCAATCCAATTGCTAAAGACCAATTTTTTTTTGAGAGGCGGAACAGAGACGGGAAAGAGGAGAAGCAGCTGACGGAATTAAGGAGTTAGGTAGGGTTTTGGGGTATTTATAAAGCCCTTTTTAACTAATAAAAACCCTCAAATAAAATTTACATAAAAACCCCTATACTTTTCCTTATATATATCTATCTAAAGAAAACTTAGAATTATTACATACTACCCCTCTTAACAGAAGTTTTGTCCTTAAAACTTGGACATACCTGAGTCTTCAAATAAATTAGGATATTTTCCCTTCATCTCATCTTCATGCTCCCAGGTAGCTTCCTCAGCTGAATGATTTTTCCATAAAACCCTCACTAGCTTAATAATTCTTGACCTTAAAGCTTGCTCCTTCCGGCCCAAAATTCTAACTGGATACTTCTGATTATGTCAAATCTTTCCTGATCCCAAGAGACTCATAATTCAGTACATGACTCGGATCAAGTACATACTTCCTCAGCATTGATACATAGAAAACATTATGAATTTTAGCCAACTCTGGAGGCAATATAATTTTGTATGCTACAGCTCCAACCCTCTCCAAAATCTCAAAATATCCAATACATCTCAGACTCAACTTGCCTTTTCTTCCAAATCTCATCACTCCCATAGTAGGTGATACTCTAAGGAAAATATGATTGCCGACTTCATCAAACTCCAACTTTCTTCTTCTATTATCGACATAGCTCTTCTGCCTTCTTTGAGCTATACGAAGCCTCTTACGTATCTCTTGAATCTTCTCAGTAGTAATCTGTACTATCTCAGGACCGAGCAGCCTTCTTTCTCCTACATGATCCTAACAAATAGGGGATCTACATCTCTTACCATACAATGCTTCATAAGGGGATATATCAATACTGGAGTGATAGCTATTGTTATATGCAAACTCCACCAAAGGCAAATGTTTTTCCCAGCTACCTTTCAAATTCTAAACACAATCATAAAGCATATCCTCTAATGTCTGAATAGTTCTCTCCAATTGCTCGTCCGTCTGGGATGATAAGATGTGCTAAAACCCAATTGTGTTCCCAAAGCATTATTCAGACCTGGCCAAAATATAGAACGAAATCTCGAATCTCTATCTGATATAATAGTCACCGGTATCCCATGCAACCTCACGATCTCCTTAACATATAATTCAACAAGCTTCTCAAGAGAATGAGTAATTTTACAAGGTAAGAAATGAGCCGATTTAGTAAGCCGATCAACAATCACCCATATTGTGTCATTACCACTCTAACTCCTAGGAAAACCGGTCACAAAATCCGTTGTTACCTCCTCCCACTTCCACACAGGAATTGGAAGAGGCTGAAGTAGTCCGCTAGGTTTCTGATGTTCAATATTGACCTGTTGGCACACCAAGCATTTAGACACAAATTCTGCAATATCCTGCTTCATGTCATTCCATCAAAATGTTTCTCGTAAATCTCTATACATCTTCGTAGATCCAGGATGAACTGTATATGCCGAGCACTGCGCCTCCTCTAAGACTTGTTTCTTCAATTCTGGGTCATTAGGTACACATAAGCGGCTTTTGAATCTCAAAGCTCCATCATGAACTGTAAAATCATGTTGAAGTCCCCGCTCCACATCTGTCTTAATTTTTACAAGAATTGGATTATCGCTTTGTGCAGCCACAAGCCTGTCAATCAAAGCAGGCTGAATTTTAAGATGAGCAAACACCACTCCAGATCCTAGAAGTTGAACATCAATATCAAGTCTCCTCAAGTCCTCCAACATATGATTCTGATTTGTGATCAAAGTGGCAACACTAGCATTGGACTTTCTACTCAAAGCATCAGCTACCACATTCGTCTTACCGGGATAATAATGAATATTAAGGTCATAATCCTTCATTAGCTCTAATCATCGCTTTTGTCTCATATTTAACTCTTTAAGTGTGAAAATATATTTAAGACTCTTATGATCTGTGTAGATGTCACAAGTCTCCCGGTACAAATAGTACCGCCAAATCTTCAATGCAAAGATAACAACAGCTAACTCCAAATCATGTGTTGGGTAGTTCTTTTCATAAGGTTTAAGCTGTCTGGATGCATATGCTATTACTTTCTCATGCTGCATAAGGACACAACCGAGGCCAATATGAGAAGCATCACTGTATATCATAAATTCACCTGACCTAGAAGGAATCGTGAGTATGAGTGCGAACACTAATCGATCCTTCAACTCCTGGTAGCTCTGTTCACACTTCTCTGTCCACTGAAACTTGACCTCTTTCTGAGTCAATCGAGTCAAAGGTGCTGTAATGCGGGAAAATCCCTCGATAAACCTTCTATAGTAACCAGCCAATCCAACGAAGCTTCGTATCTCGGTCACGGTGCTAGGTCTCTTCCAATCAACAATTGCCTCTATCTTTGAAGGATCAACCGACACCCATTCTTTAGAAATAACATGCCCTAAAAACGAGACTCTCTCCAACCAGAATTCACACTTTTTTAACTTTACATACAATTTGTGTTTCAAAAGTAATTGCAAAATAATTCTTAAGTGCTCTTCATGTTCCTCCCGGCTTCTAGAGTAGATCAACATGTCATCAATAAAAACAACTACAAACCGGTTGCGATAAGACTTGAATACCCTATTCATTAAGTCCATAAAAGCAGCCGGGACATTTGTCTATCCAAATGGCATCACCAAAAATTCATAGTGTCCATATCTTGTCCTAAATGCAGTCTTCGACATATCTTCAGGCTTAATATTGAGCTGATGATAACCAGTTCTAAGGTCAATCTTCGAGAACACCTAGGCGTCCTTCAACTGATCAAATAAATCATCAATCCGAGGCAAATGATATTTGTTCTTCACAGTCATCCTGTTCAATTCTCGGTAATCTATACAAAGTCTCATACTCTCATCTTCTTCACAGAAAGTACTGGAGCACCCCAAGGAGATACACTCGGTCTAATGAAGCCCTTATCTAACAACTCCTGCAATTGAGTCTTCAACTCCCTCATCTTTACTGGTGCCATTCGATAATGTGCTTTTGAGATCGGCCCTATTCCTGGGATTAAATCAATAGCGAACTCAATCTCTCTATCAGGTGGTAGCCCTGGCAAGTCTTTAGGAAAAACCTCAGGGTGTTCTCGAACAATTGGAATTTTATCCAAAATGACTTCCTTCTTCTCGGTACAAACTACACTAGCAAGATAACCCTGATAACCTTTTCTTGGAAGTCTACAAGCTCGCATAGCTGAAATAACACATGGAGGTACACTAACACCCGTCCCCTCAAAAGAAAACTCGGACTCCCTAGGAATTCTGAATGAAACTCGCTTCTGAAAACAATCTAGATATGCATGATAAGTAGAGAGCCAATCCATTCCAAGAATAACATCAAAATCATGAATATCAAGTAACACAAGTTTCGCAAGCATGGTTCGATCTCCCACTACAACCTCACATCCCTTAAAGATATGATTAGTGATCATACAATCGTCGGATGGGGTGGAAATTGATAGTTCAGATTCTATAAATTCTGGAGTTCTACCCAACTTACTAGCAAAACGATGAGATACAAATGAATAAGAAGAACCAGAATCAAACAACACATGTGCGAGCTGAGAGGAAATAACAAGTACACCTGTAACAACGGAGTTAGATGCGAGAGCATCCTGCTTCGTCAAAGCAAATACTCTCCCTTGTGCCTTAGATCTCTGGCCATCATCAGGTGTAGGTTTCACTTTCTGATCATGGTCTTGGGTCCCTTCTTTATTGAACAGTCCTTCGTAATATGTCCCTGTTTGCCACACTCATAACAACCTCGAAATAAAGGATAAAAACGGCCTTTGTGATTATTACCACATCTATAACACTGTCCATTATGTCTCTGAATAGGAGGACCCATCCTCTACACAAACTGCCCCGATCTCTATACTGGAACTCCTGACGTCCGAAATGCTGACTTCTTAAAAGGTCTAAAAGCTATTTTATCTTTCTGATTATTCTCGTCCCTGATCCGCTTCTTCTGGTCCTAATTTTTGTTTGGTTCATCTGCAATCTTTTCTCCCTTACTTGCTTTTTCAGCCCTTTTTGCTCGCTCCACTATCTCCTCAAAAGTCTTTGACATGACCACTGTAACCTTCTGATGAATTTCTAGCCTCAGCCCATTCTCAAACATCTCTATTTTATCAAATTCTTTTGCAACTAGCTCAGGTGCATATCGAGATAATTCATTAAACTTAGCTTCATATTCTTCCACTGTCATGTCACATTGCTGCAAATCCATAAGTTTCCTCTTCTTGCGAGATCGGACATACAAGGAAAAATATTTCTCCCTGAATAATTTAACAAATCTGCTCCAAGGAATATCCTCTCCCTCAAGTGATAAACTGGCCTCCTTAGTTTCCCACCAGATCTCTGCATCTCCCTCTAGTATAAAGGTAGCATAAATAACTTTTTGCTCCTCTGAACATCCCAAGGCTCTAAGTACTTCTCTATTTTCTTCAGCCATTCTTGTGCCATCGTTGGATCAGAACCTTCCTGAAAAGATGGTGGAGACATCTTCTTAAAATTTTCAAATTAACTGCCAATAGGTTTAGTCTTCTTTTGTGTATTTAGTGCTTCGCTCAGCTTCTCAGTTGCATCTGACTGTTTTTTAAGGATCTCTATTTGCCTCTCCATGGAACCACTCTGTATTTTAATAAAACTGGCGAGTCCTTCAACACCCCACTGAGCTCCAGTAATCCCTCTCGCAGTCCTAGCAATACAGGTAGCCATACCTCCATCAGTTCTGGGTCCTGATCTTCTCCTGACATTCGCATCAGGAGCCTCATTTGTAACATTAGGGGTCTTAATCTTTTGTTGACCTGCATCATCATTTCCACCAACCCTAGTCCGGGGACGCCTACTCGATTGGGATATATTTGAAGGAAGCGTAACCCCTGCATTAGCCTCAAGTCTAGGAGAAGAGCGGCTCGCTGCAACACCAGAACCTCTCTTACCACGAGCCATCTCAATCTAACATTACCAGAAATAAATATATTTAGTACAAAATATTCATCGTATTAATTATTACTAAATCAATTCATAACATATTCATCACAAGCATAAGTAATCAAATAATATTTTTCATGAAATACATACACAATCAATTCATAACATATTCATCACAAGCATAAGTAATCAAATAATATTTTTCATGAAATACATACACTGGTCATACCTTAAACTACCCCATCACAAGCATAAGTAATCAAATAATATTTTTCATGAAATACATACACTGGTCATACCTTAAACTACCCAGACTAAATCTTTTACCTTTAAGACAACAAAACTTAAGAGATTACGTGATCCATGGTTCTAAGCTTATATACTCCTATACCTGAAATTTGATCTAATAGTGTTCATGTTGTCCTCGATCACACTTCAAAATGAAACATCAACCTTCATTTCTATGCATCAAAATCCACTATATTTTTCTTTCATTACTTAATCATCTCCAAAATCAACTAGGACCTACAACCTAAGCTCTGATACCAATCTGTCACGACCCCAAATTTCGAACCTTAAAGGAATATTGGAGCCGTACTAAACCTGTGAAAAATCCTCCAAAATATGCATTCATTAAAAGACCATCAAAATAAACTCTTAATCGAACTAAAATCAACAATAAATATTGTCTATAATCGCAAAAGTCAAACTACTCCAATTAACTTGATAAAAACAAATATTCCTCAACTTGAAATAAAACTCGACCTAAATGAGAGAATCACATTATTACAAAACTCTCAATTCATCAACTAAACATCGATGACTTTATTTAACATTCATCTAGAAATCAATAACAATCTCGAATTATATTCCTTGCTCTGTTCTAAGAATTTGACAAATCCTCAATTCCACCTAATCCCGAGTCTCTGAAAAAAGAATGAAAACAACACAATGAGTTCATAACTCAATAAGTGGATAAATTCATACATTAGACACTGGTTTTGTAAAACTAAAATAATTGGACTTGATAAGCAAAGTACTAAAATAGTGAAAAAATTATAATGCAACATTTCAAAATATATACATGCAATGGAAATAAGCAAGTCATGTCTCAATGCGGCAACACTTCGATACTCCTGTTGATTTGGCAAATCCCACTATTATATAGCCCGTGGTCGGACGGTGAGACCCAAACTTGGGCTCTTAGCGCTAAAATAAAAACCTCATAGAGGCACATTAAGCCCTATTTTAATAACTTGCTTATATCCGACATATACCGGTATATTGACCTGAGATGCATATGCTTTAAGAAAATTAAACGAAGTCCGTAAAGCTAAATATGTTATACAAAAATGTCAAATACCAACCAATAGTGAAATCAATCAACCACATATGCATCTCAACCTACTACTATATGGAAAGACATAACAATTGACAAAGAAAATAACAACAATTGACAAAAAAATAAGCATAGGCTTATACCAAATAACCATGTGCATTAATCCAATCAACAATTAGTATACGAGCAACCATAAAAAAGAATATATTCCATCAGAACAAACTTATACATAGTTAATATAATTTTATATGAAAAATACGCAGCGAATAATGTACAAATTCATCACTTACATAAACACAAAAGACTATTGGAATACCAGTCACGATGCCTCCTCGAAGCCACTCGAAGCCCTAAAGAATACATATAAATAACCATCAATGCTACTGTATACCTTAAGATTCAAGCGTCTATTAGATTAATCAACACATAGGCTAAAAATACATTTTTTTCAATTTAACATATAATCTAAAATCAACCAGAATATCCTACTGTGACCTATAGTCCGCAGTCAAATACTGCGTGCATCTATGATCTATCATCTGTAGCTTATGGATTTAATAATATAAATCATGGTCATGTGCTAAGATGAAAACAGAGGATATAAAAATGAAATTAAAAGGGAGCAGGACCAACTTTGGTCCGCCATGGCCTCAAACAATGATGTATAGACATAGGCTTCTTAGTGGGGAGAATATATATATATATACCTTGACCAAAGTTCTTGATCAATCCAACTGCTAAAGACCAATTTTTTTTTGTGAGAGCGGAACAGAGACGGGAAAGAGGAGAAGCGGCTGACGGAATTAAGGAGTTGGGTAGGGTTTTGGGTATTTATAAAGCCCCTTTTTGCTAATAAAACCGTCTAATAAAATTTACATAAAAACCCCTATACTTTTCCTTATATATATCTATCTAAAGAAAACTTAGAATTATTACAGTAACTTTCTCTGTTTTAAGTGCTATGTTGGCTTCTCACCTGCAATCATTTGTCAAAATATTATTTTATTATGAATCTATGAAGGATTTTTGAGTGTAACTGAGTCTAATGGAGCAAATTCACTTGACAGGTTGGTTGCGGTGCTGGAAACTCTATTTTCCCTCTAGTTTCAACATACCCAGACATGTTTGTCCATGCTTGTGATTTCTCACCACGTGCAATTGATCTCGTCAAGGTTTGGATCCCTCCAAAATTTTTTTTCTCATTCTCTTTACTTTTCACTTCTATGTAACTAGTGAGTAATTGTACATTCTCAAATATGAGAGGTAATTAAGGAAATAATGGGGAAAGCTGTTATCATTTCATTGTCACCATTTAGTTAAAGTGTTGGACTTTAAACTTGCATCAATGAGCGGTGTCTCTATCCTATTGATATAACAGCATTAGTGTTTTTTCCCCTAATGTTGAATGCTGCATTAGATGGTTAGGCTTATATTAGTTTGATGGGTATTTATGATGACGCTGTATCATAGGGGATGTTTTTGGGTCGTAATCATTTTATTTTATTAAATTGGAGAACTGTATATGTAGGCTAAAACAGTTATGCGTTTCAAGTTGGTGCACGTTTATTAATGTTATGTTAGAAAGCTTGTCATACTGAAGGCAAATCCAGTATGGGATAGTTATATGAAAATTTTTAGCCGGGTATGAGTTACTTTTCTGTAATTAAGCTATTTATAAGACATCAAACTTTAAAATCAGTGATAAAAGAATGTTCTAGTGTCATTGACTATGTCTGGATTTCAATATTGTAGCCAAGTTTCTTTGTCCCTAGTGGTGCTGCAAGTGTAATGCATGTATAGGTCTATAAGGTTGACATACTGCTTGTGCGCTCACTGCAGGTTTCATCATATTCAGTTATGTCAATGGAGGCTTCAGTATAACAATCTGCAATGAGTGCGATTCCTATCAGAATGCTCTGCAATATGCAGGCGTTCTGAGCCGCAGAATGTGAAGCTGGGGGTCACTTCAGTATTTCAGTGCCCCCCTAGATGGATCAGAACACCCTACATGGTGGGGTGTTCTGGTAGGAAATGCACCTACAATGTTATGCATATGCTCCTAAAAAATAATAAAAGTAAATACCTATATTATTGATGTTATTGGATTTCTATGACATTTGCTACATAGATTGAGCTTGCCAATGCCTTTAAGGTTCCCTGGAAAGATGACTGATAAGGTTATCGGACAGCTGTCAGCTTATACAGTCTGTCTCTCTCTCTCTCTCTCTCTCTCTCTCTCTCTCTCTCTCTCCATTTCTTATGACTTATTATGATGAGGATGCTTTCTCTGTTCCATCTCCCGTGTCATGGAACAGTGTTCTTTTTAGTAGAATTAGTTGGTCAATATGAACTTAAGATTTTCAGAGGGGGCTTATGATACCACTTATTTTATGTTATGATGTTGTTAACATCTACTTTTCGTATTTCCATTTGAAAAGTTCTCTGTTGGCAGGCACACAAGGACTTCTCAAGCAATCAGATCAATCCTTTTGTTTGTGATCTCACAGTGCAAAATCTTAGTGATGTGATACAACCCTCATCGGTGGATATAGTGACCATGGTAATTAAGTCAACTTCTCCCTTTCAGCTTTGACGCTTCATTGCTTCTCAGAGGACTTCGTGAAGGTCTTCCGTCAATGTTTTTGGATGGAATTATCTTAGTCATCGAATAGTCGACAGCTGACATATTAAGTAGGTTTTCGTGTTGTCTGCAGTATCTCCAGAAAAGATGCCTCTAGTTTTACAGAATATAAGAAAAGTTCTCAAGGTAATATTTGCTTATGCGGCTTAATATTTGAAATTTAAATTGCATGAACTGGTCAAGTTTTCCCTAACACAACTTTGTTCAGCCGAATGGTCGTGTGCTTCTCAGGGATTATGCCACTGGAGATCTTGCACAGGTTAGTTTCATATTCTATTTGGTAATAATTTAGATAACTTCAATTTGGTGTATTATGGCCTGCTAAGATGCTTTTATAACCACAAAGGTTATGTAATGAAGTTCGTAGTAGACAAAAGGGTATCCCTTTTGGTACTTATAATATTTTCCATACAGACGAAGAATATCTTATTGTAATACCCAACTGAGCTACTGGTTCTGCGGTACCCATTTCTTTTATTTGTTAACTAGTTTTCTTCCACATTGACAAATTATTTGGTTTTTGACATCCTTCTCTTGCAAGTAACCATGCTCACATGATACTATCAACAGGCTAGGCTCACATCCAAGGAGCAAGAAATCAGCGATAACTTTTATGTCAGAGGTGATGGAACTGTAAGTTTTGGTTAACCGTGTCCTTACTTTTCTAAAGAAATCAGGGCACAGTCAATCCAATTTCTTACAATTAATTTTTTATGCAGAGGGCATATTACTTCTCTGAAGATTTTTTGTCAAATTTGTTCATAGAAAATGGATTTGATGTCGAAGAAGTTGGCATTTGCGACAAACAAGTGGAAAATCGGTCTCTGGAATTAGTCATGAAGAGGTAGTAATTTCGCAATGATTTCTAAATTTTGATAACTCGTTTGGTGTAGGAACAACCCAACCTAAGCACATTTCTTTCTATTAAATAGGTTCCACTATACATGTGTATGCTTTCTTGTATGAATGTATGTGCGTATTATAGAAGTGACACCTCTTAAGGAATTGCACAAACATATCCATGGCCGGCACACTGTCCTTATCCATGTGCACAAGAAAACATACATTTTTATATATATTAAGCAGCATAAAGCAAGCTAAATATCAATCAACTAGACTTAACTAATCTAGTAGCTCTTGGTAGGGAGATACCATGATTGATACTTTCTTTATGTCAGGGGTCAATTGCCCGCATATATTATGACATTTGCCTACGTGTCTAACATAACCCATGGTTCTCTCATCTCTGTGCTTACACCTCCCGTGATATTTTAAAACACAAGGGCCATAACAAATATTCACTTTACAAACAGCCTCGGAGTTATGTTAGATTTAGGCTACACAACATTTTTCTATATCCTCTCAGTCCACCCCGACCTCTCAGTGTAGCTCTCTCTGTCAACCACTTAACTATCAGAGGTGACTCAAATTTCGACATTGCCAACCCTTGGTAGTTGGTAGTTGTGATTTGTGAATATTTGCCATAATTAATGCAGAGTGAGGAGACCTCTTATGTGATCATGGAAATGTTATCTTGACTAGTATGCGTTTGCATTGTAAATGTTATTACATGAGTGGATTATTGCGTGCAAATCGCATGCAAAAACCAGCTTCCTTTTTAATATAATGTAAATGGTGATCTGCAGAACTTTTCTTGAGCACTAAATAAGCTAGTTATACTAGCAGTTCAACCCATGGTTGATTGTAGACTGCTTTTGATATTTGTATTGACATACTGACAGCATCTCGTGCAGATATTCCAGCATCCCATGCAGATATTCCATGTCCAATTTCTGATTTAACGTGAACTTTTCCTTGAAAATAATAGTCCGTTGTGAGCAGTTTCAATTATATTCATTTCCCCCTTGTTTTACTTTCAAATCTTCTTCTTTTCAGACGTTGGATTCAAGCTGTCTTCTCTCTCCGGTTGAATGCTTCAAACTTTGCTGAAAAGCTCGATCAAGAAGCAAATGGTCATGTGATCAACAAGAATGCTTCTGAAAACCCTGCAAATAATCCTGAAATTGATTTATCCGAAAGTATAATTCAGATATTTGATGTTTCTCTGCCTATTGATGAGGTAACATTTTCAGAGTTCAGTTGAATTGTTTTCTTGTATATATTCGTTTCCAACAAGCAAGTGATTCTAATGTTATCTATCAATCTGCTATTATCTCTCTCGTTGATTTCACATCCGAAAAATAGCACTTATGAGAAACTAATATTGATATATTGGTTACTTAAGAGCTTAATTTTTTTGTTTCAAATGAGGCGAAACCTTCTTGTGTAAAATGTTACTCACTTAGATTTAGTTTTCATCAAGTAAAGCTAGGTAAGTGCCGGAAATCATCACTAGATGAGACCAAATATTCTAACACAAACATAGATGAGATAGGCATATTCCAAACATGAGAATGAATTAGCTAGAAAAGAACTGAACTTTGTGTAGAATTTGATGCATATGGTGTTTGACAATGTTTTGATATTTGACAAGCTTCAAGTGAAAGAGAGGAAATATGTATAGATTCTAATTTTTCCTGGAGACAACAGCCTAAGACTTAATTGATGCATGGCCTAACTGAACGCCATTAAAGTGACTCCTTGTTATAATCATTAAGAAAGCAAATCTGGTCCATTTGGTGTGAATGTATTCATGGCCACTACCAATCATCTTCCTCATCTCTATGTCCTGAAAAACACAATGATAAGGAAAGAAGGTAACGAATTTAGCTATTTTATTAGATTACCAACTGAAAGAAGATTATATAGAAACAAAGGCTAACTGGAAGATGATTTTAGAGAAACAAAGGGAATGAATAACAAAACTCAAACACGGTTCAAGATCAAATCTAATATTGCAAACTCCTTCAGTAATAAAAGAAAAGGATCCATCTGCTAGCTTAACCTTCCCTAATTATGGGCAAATCCTTCAGATCTTCCTGTCAATGATCCGACAATTAGAAGGCCTAGATAAGTGGTATTTGAAAAGGCATAACTCATAAATAACAATATATTAACGATTTCCTCTAGTTTGAGCCCCAGTATATGCATATAAACTTTTTTCCTCTAGCTTGAGCCCCAGTATATGCCTTCATTGTGTGAAGTAAGGTTATACCAGGGCAAGAATGCATGCGATGTTGCAAAGAAATTAATATCTGAATCAGCATCACCATGACATCTCATTTTTGTGGGGCTCGAGTACACCCTCTTAAGTGATCCTCTTACTACCTTCATCTGTTATACTTGAAATTTCTAGAATCCAACTTCATCTTTTTGAGTGATTATCATTTAGTTTCTATTTTCCTTCATCTCTAAAACCCTTAATGCAAGCAATTCTAAGTTTCTATCTATGGTTATAAAAGGTTACTGAGATCAAAGTGAGAGGCCACGCCTTCAGGATAAAAGCACTCCCCAGAGAATATCAGCACACATGCAAATCGACGGGCCTAATGCTGTGGGAATCTGCTCGCTTCATGTGTAATCTATTGGCAGAAAACCCTTCTGTTACTTCAGGAAAAAGAGTACTAGAGCTCGGTTGTGGCTCCACTGGCATCTGCTCGATGATATCTGTAGCCTTTGCCGAACTCGTTGTATGTACTGATGGAGATGTGAAGGCTTTAAAGCTCTTACATGAAAACATTATGTTAAATGCCAATCCAGGGCTAATTCAGAAAATGGTTATCAAGAAATTAATGTGGGGAAACAAGGAGGATATCATGACCATCAGAGAGCTCGGAGATTTTAATCTGATCATTGGAACAGATGTAACCTACTATGCTGAAGCTATATCTCCTCTGTTTGAGACTGCAAGTGCTTTAATAGCAAATAATGATACAGAGACGAGATCAGGTCTCATTCTGTGTCACATGCAGAGGCGAGTTGATGAAGATTGTATACTCTCAGCTGCAGCGGAATTTGGATTCAAGCTAGTTGATAAATGGATCAACGGGATTAACCCGAACGTCGGTATCATCTGCTCTTGGTTCTCAAATGTTGCTTGGATGAACGAGTTTAAGAATGTACCCTTGTGTATCTTGTATTTTGAAGTGGGAGCATGAGTACCTTGGGTATTTCTTTGTTGGTGCTTCATGGATTCCTGTACCGTGTTAGAGATTTATTTCAACTCCTTGTTTCCTACAGTTTCTTGATTGAGAAGGTTTTGAAGCGACTAAATTATCTGATTGAATTAAACAAGGTCATGAATGTACTAGTTACCCTACCATCTGAAACATTGGCCAGTCGTTACTGGACTCGTGCATAATTTTCTGTTTTCTTCTGATTCACAATGAGCTTGTTGAACACTAAAATCAGGTAAACTGGCTGTGTCACATTACAATTTACATGCTCACTTTGACGTAAAAATTCATGATATGTAAATAATTCTCTCTCAGAAATTATCAGGTGTCCTTAGATAATCCAAGGTTCTGGGATTATTTTTTGTATTCTTGCATCTGCAGTAAAAAGGAGTCAAATTTAGCTCAACTGTAATAATGCACATAAATTCTATAAATTTTAGTATCTGTATGTGTTACTTGATCTCTAATACCAACTCCTCCAATATTTCCGCTTAAAGTCACAGATTCACAGAGAGTAAGCTGTATGTTAATGGAAAAAACAATACACAATTTACAGTAGCCATAAATAGATGTCGGTCACTCTAGCGGAACATATAGGGGCTGTTTGTTTTAGGGCGTTTTTGCAAGTAAAGCTGTCAAAATCGACAGCTTTTGTCAGTTTTGACAGGGAAACAAGGGCAAAAAATGCCAACCAAACAGCCCCACGCAGTAAGAAAACTTTCTTTCACTAAAATATCCTGAGACACAAAAGATGTACCCAATCTATTGGGGCTAGGGGTGCCAAACCGTATCCGTATCCGAGGAAATATTCGTAACCGTATCCGTTAGGATACGAATATGGTTACTCAAATCTATTACCGATAGGATATGGTTGCGGATATGGTTTTGTAGTGAAATATCCGTATCCGTATCCGAAAAAATCCGAATACATATTGGTAATACTCTTACGATAGTTTCGATTATTAGATTATGGATTTGTGGTTAATTTTGATGATCAATATGTCTAATCTTAGCTTTTCAATCATAATGAACATATTAACGAACTCTTTTTGTATCACATGACTATATTTTTCTGAATACTATCTAGTTTTCTCATATCCTTTTTGTATCCGCATGCATATCCGTTTATATATCCGCATCTATATCTGTAACCGTATCCGATTTTGGTGGATATGGATATGAATTTTTCTTACCGACGTATATCCGTATCCGTATCCGAGATGGGTAAGCGGATATGGATATGGTAAGTGCCATATCCGAGCCGTATCCGCTCCGTTAACACCCCTAATTGGGGCTCATAAGTCCTAGCGATAAGGGCTAAAGATGTACCCACTATGGCAATATTATAAAGGGGTTCTTGCATATATACCCCTCACATCTTTAATATTTGTGAACTTACCCTTTAACTCTTGGTGCTTCAAAATTACCACTAAAAACTAGCACATAAGGTCTTTCTACAACTCCCAACTTAAGAATGCTGTTTTTAAAGAAGCCAATGTCAAGTTTTTCAATAATTTTTAATGAATTTACAGCAATTTCTCATTTAAAACTGAAGCCGGTAAGTGAAATGGTAGGAAAAAAAATTCAATGTGAGAGAATTGTGGAGCAGTTTACAAATACAAAGACTCGGATAGTAAATTTGTAGATATGAAAGAGTTGGCGGGTATATAAGCAAAACCCCCCCTACTATTATAAATTCTCTTGTTACTCCTCGGCCCTCTCCACGTGTCAGCATCTTAGATCTTCAAGAGTCAACATAGCCCATCCCCAAAGATTTGGGGAGTAAATTTGTAGGTAAAAAAGATACGGAGGAGGGTATATATATGCAAAAAGAACCCTATTAATAAATTCTCTTGTTACTACTCGGCCCTCCACATGTCAGCATCTTAGATCCTCTAGAGCCGACATAGTACCTCCCCCATCACTTTCTTCAGATCCCTCTCTCTCTGTTTCTCAAACAAAATTTCTTTGAAAGCCAAATCACATGCTCTTGTTGTGTTCTCGCTTCCATCACAAGACGGTGAAAAGCAATTAAATTCCCAACAAAAAAAGCTTTGAGGACTCCAAAACCCCAAAAACCCACCCCATTTCTAGACTCCTCCCTCTCTCTCTCCCTCTCTCTCTCTTTAAACAATTAAACAATTAAACAATTGACATAATAATATGTTGTTCTTCTTCTTAATTCTAGGAATCCCCCATCGAAAAGTGCCTCATTTCTTCTACATGTCTCTCTAGGTCTTGACTTTAAATTTCCTCTCAGATTTTCGCTCTGTTTAAAGCGAAGAACACCAAACCGAACACGCTCTGCTTTTGATCCGATGATGTGGGTATGCGAGAGCCCACCGGCCATTTCGCTCACGACCACCCCGACAAATCCCCGCTTAGCTTTCTCCACCTACCCAAAACCTCGCGCCGCCCCGTCTCCTCTCCACCTCAGCCCCCCAACGGCTCAAACCCCAAGAAAAAGCAGAGGAAGGAGCTGAAGCTCCTCCCTCCAAACAAGGCCCCACATCCTAAAGCCCATTCCCAAGCCCAACCCAAAAAAGCCCAGCCCGAAGCTCGGCGGCGGCGGCGGCGGCGGCGGCCATCGGCCGTGGGGGAAGCGGGCCGGATGTGTGCCCTGTGTGGGTTTGGGTACTGGGTGCCAGGGTTCAGCGTGCTTCCGGTGGCTGGCGCCTGAGTATTTCACTTGGCCGCATCGCTGGGCCTTCAAGCCCGGCGGCGCTGCCCAGGCTGGTGCGCAGCCACGCCGGGAACTGCCTCGCTGGTGGCGAAGCCGGTGATTTAGGGATTGTTGTTCGGACGCTGGTGTACATCGGCGGCGGCCCACAGGGTGCCTTACAATTCTCGGCGAGGGGTTGGGTGCTTCTGTTGCTTTGTAGGTAGCGGTTTGCTGTGAAAACTGATTCCTCAGCAGGTTGATGACTATAATAACCACGACGTTGGGTGGTTTGTTAGAGCATAAATTACAATGCTTTACCCTCGAGAATTTAAAGCGGATTAAAAGAATTTGATACGGGACGCTCAACCCGCGGCGCATGTTAGAGTATAAAATTATAAACCTCATTACAACTTCAGAGTTTGTGTAGTAGAGAGGTTTGACATGATTAGGAAACATGTAAGAAAATGGGGCATAGCATAGATGAGAATTTTACTGTCGACTCATGGATGTACACTAAAAGATAGGATGAGAATCAATACGTTGATAGTAGAAATAAAATGAGAGTACAAGTCGAGATGGTTTGGTGACGGCAACGATGAATAGAAAACACACGTAATAAGGCTATATCATGTAGCAAGGAGGGCTAGAGGTACACATAACAGACTTGATTACTCAACATTATAGGTTAACATAATTTAGAGAAGATTGGAAGAATAGAATTCATGTAACCCACACAAAAATTTAGAATAAGGGCTTTATTCTTTCTGCTCGATCGAGGACTATAGACTTTGATGATTGGGTGTGTGGGGGTTTTAATTTAATTGACGAATCACATATTTTTTAATTTATCTGGAGAAAGGTGCTGTAGAATAAGGGGGATAAATTGAAGAAAAAGAGGAAAGGAACTCTAGAATATAAGACCAATCACTTTTTAAGTTGATAGCACGCGACACATTTAAACAAGGTGAACAAAGCAACGGGACAAGCCTGTTTGCTTTTGTAGTCTACTTTTTTTGCAGTTAGTTTACTTCAAGTTAGTAAACTTAGGTCTATTATTTGCACTTTACTAAACTGCATATTTGGCTGCAGTTTGAAAATCTAGTCAAAAAGTGCATTTTACATCAGTAAAAAATGTAAGTGAAATGGAGAAATTAAAGTGCAACTTAGAAAACTTCAGCTAGCAGCCTACGGAGTACAGTTTGTAAAGATATAACTATGAGCTTATTAAGTTTCATAGTCAAACAAGCCCTGATCAATTAGGCCTGTATCACTGTGATCTATATAATAACCATAGTAAATACTCTGTGATATATTAATGATGATTGATAAACGAGCTAGTTTAACAAAGAAAGTCTGTTTATCAACGGTTATAAGTAAAATGAGAAAAGAGCTGAGAAAATTGCTGCTGTCCAAAAACCTTCTTATGATTGCTCGCGTCTAATTACATTATCAGAGAATAATTTTAGTAGACTAATAATTCTGTTGCAATCAGGATTCATTTTGTATATTTACTTACAAGAGGGATACCTAGTTCACAGAAAGGTTTCGCTCTACAATTGGCATTGAAGATGAGAAACATGGCATTCATCATTTTGTATAGGTATCAATACAATTGGGTATGTTTCAATGTAGCGGGAAAATGGTAAGAAGCTACGGAAACAAATTAGTAAAACATTTTAAAGAAATTAGTAATAAAAGCTTAAAATTGACAACAACAATAACAAAGCTGCTATCCCAAATGTTTAGAGTTGGCTACATGAATCCTATTCTTCCATTCTGTTTTGTTTGGGTCAACAATTATCATATCCTTCTTAATTGCTAACACCCAAGTTCTTTTGGGTCTATCTTTAGATCTCTTTGTCTCATTAACTACAATATTATCTCAGTTCCTAACCGGTGCATTAAGAGATTTCCTTTGTATATGATCAAACCACCTTAGTCTAAGCTCTTATTTACTACGAATGCACTTGTTTCTTATCCTAGCTTTTAGTGTATACGTACAAGACCATCATAATATTCTCATTTTTGTTATGCTCATTTTTTGTACATGTTATTTCTTAATTGTCCAACATTGCGACCCATGAAGCATCGTTGGTCATATGATTGTCCTATAATTTTTTTTAGTTCATAGGTATTCTGTGATCACATAAGACTCCCGAATCACTCCTCAATTTTAACCATATGAATTTGATTTGATAGACAATATCATCCTCAATCCAGCATCATTAATCCCAGATAACAAAAGCGGTTACTTTTAGTTACTTTTTGGTCATCAATATGTACTATATGCTCTTTTCTATTTTTAGTTTTACTAAATATACATTTATATATTCTATTTTTATTCTACTAATTCTAAAACCTTTTGAAGGCTTGTCTCTACCTTTCTACTTTAGATATTATATCCTCTCTAGTCTCATCAACTAATATTCTATCATCAGCAAATAACATATATCATGAGATTTCATCTTGAATATGTCTAGTAAGTTGTTCAATAACTAATGCAAAAA